AAGCCAGGAGCATCCTGGGAAAGACAGGGCCTTCCTGGGGAAGCAGGGCCTTGAGCATGCTGGGAAAGCCAGGGCCATCCTGGGAAAGCCAGGGCCATCCTGGGAAAGCCAGGAGCATGCTGGGAAAGCCAGGGCCATCCTGGGAAAGCAGGGCCTTCCTGGGAAAGCCAGGAGCATCCTGGGAAAGCCAGGAGCATCCTGGGAAAGCCAGGAGCATCCTGGGAAAGCCAGGGCCATCCTGGGAAAGCCAGGGCCATCCTGGGAAAGCCAGGGCCTTGAGCATGCTGGGAAAAACAGTGCCATCTTGCGAAAGCCAGGAGCATCCTGGGAAAGCCAGGGCCTTCCTGGGAAAGACAGTGCCATCCTGGGAAAGCCAGGGCCATCCTGGGGAAGCCAGAGCCATCCTGGGAAAGCCAGGAGCATCCTGGGGAAGCCAGGGCCTTGAGCATGCTGGGAAAAACAGTGCCATCTTGCGAAAGCCAGGAGCATCCTGGGAAAGCCAGGGCCATCCTGGGGAAGCCAGGGCCTTCCTGGGAAAGCCAGTGCCATCCTGGGAAAGCCAGTGCCATCCTGGGAAAGCCAGTGCCATCCTGGGAAAGCCAGTAGCATCCTGGGAAAGCCAGGGCCATCCTGGGAAAGCCAGATTTTGGTGACCCTGTGATGCTGTCCTTCTGTTTCTCCTACCGCTCTGCAGCCTCTACCAGCACAGCCCGTGCTTGGTGTCTCTTCCCTCCTGGGTTGCAGGTGGCTGCCCTCCTTGCTGGCCTGCTGGGTGCATCCTTGACACCGTGGGCTCTGGTGGGTCTCAGGCTGATGCACATGGCACCATCTGTGTTTGAAATGTCTGCACCTGTTGGCGCCTTCTGCCTGCTGCCCCATGCATACCTGGCCCTCGGTGGCCTTCTGTCTTCTGGTCACTTGCCTGTGGGGCATAGAGAACCTTCCTTTGCACCATGTCCCACACCAGCAGCCCACAGGGTCGGTCCCCTGTTTTACGAATTCACCTCATTTGGCGCTTTTGTGCTTCACACCTGTTACCATCACGATTCCTTGATCACTGGTGTTTGGAGCAGGCTGGAGAGATGGGACTTTAAGCAAATGCGAATTTCCTAAAAACCTGGGTGTGGGCGGCAGGTCGCCATGAAGCAGGTTTTGCTAATTATGGGAGGAACATGGCTTGCCTCCTTCCTGTGGCCATGTGGTAGTGACGCAGGCGCCTGGCAGAGCGGGCATGCGAGGGGAGCCCACTCACTGAGTCATCTTTCATTTGTCTTCTGTCTTCCCCAAGGCCCTTCTTTCCCCTGCAATCTACAGTGTGGGAAACGGAGGCAGAGGTTTTCTTGAGGGACACAGGAGAAGACACCAGCAGTCCCCTCGGCTCTCCAAGTGAGACACTGGAATGACTCAGGATGGGCTCAAGGGGCCGATGGGCAGGAGAGAAGAGGGCAGGCCCTGAGCTGGCATCATTTAAAACACTGTCACTGTTTCCCTGAGGCTGGCACCACCCTGGGCCTGGATTTAGGATCTGGATCTGGGCATATGAGTGTGAAATGGGAGAGCGTCGAGACCTGGGGGCTGGGGCTGTGGCTCACTGGGCGGGAGAGAGTATCAGACTCAGTGTGTAAAAATAGCTCATGTGGATGCACATCTTCAGCAGGAAGGTGAGAGCACCCAGTGCAGGAGACCACCTCCAGGAGATGAGACCACACCGCACAGATGCCGTCACTGTCTGGAAGTCAGCCTCCCACAGTGGACTGACCATGTCAGGGCAGTGATCCTCTGACTTGAGTGAGATGCCTGCAGCCCTGTTCCTGCCTGGGAAGGGACTGTGTTAAGAGAATGAATAAAATGACACTGATGAACTAAAAAGTAGACATTCAGCCATCAGCTTCTCCTTAGGACTTCACGAATAATATCACTTTCTCCCTTCAGTTTAGTGAAGGTCTGGGATCTCTGTCTGCCTGTCCATCTGTCCATCCATCCCTCTGGCCACCTGTGTCTCTTTATAGGTGAATAGTGTATACGTGTATAATATCTATTCCAGTAGGACTGTGAAGGGCTGCACATTTTATTTTCTATTTTTCTTCTCTCATTGACCTACATGTCCAACTACCAGTTCCTTGATGGACCAGGTTGTTCCTCCTCCCTCCCTCTCTCCCTCCTTCCCTTCCTTCCTTGCATTGCTTCACATTTTGAAGTACAACACTCTCCTTTTAATGTGAAAACTGAAAGTTCCGGATGGACCTCCCTTCTTCCCTCATGACAGGAACTACATTTGCTGTACCCTTTAACAAAGGAGGCAGAAGCGCCCAGGTTCTGGGGGCTCAGAGGAATGCATTGTATACTTCTCTCCACTGAGACCAGCCTTCGTTGGACAACAGCTTGAGGATCGGCGGCTGGGTACCTGGGGACTCCACCCCCAATACCTACTTAGTTTTCTGTTACTGTAAGGAATACCTGAGGCAATCAGCTTATACAGAGAAAAGGGTTGTTTTGGTTCACAGATTTAAAGATATCCGTCCTCACTGCTTTTGGACCTGTGACAAGGCAACACATCACAGCGGGAACACATGACAGAGCAGCACTGCTCACCTCATGGCCAGGAACAAAGGAGAAAGAGGAAGAGACAGGTCTCAGTCTCCTTCCAGGGCATGCTGGCAATTGCCTACGACTTCCCATTGGGCTCCTCCTCTTCAAAGTGCCCTAGTGCCAAGCCTTCAGCACATGAGGCACAGGGCACATTCCGGATGCAAGTGACAGCAGTTTCCCCTCAGGTGGCAGAAAATCTTTTGTGCCATAATTAGAAAAAAGTCCCCAGTTTACATGCACTGCCTGTTGTAGGTCATTGCTGTGCATTTTGTCACAGGAGAGCCGCTAGCTGGGGCACAGGGACACCGTCAAGAACAAAGACATAGAACCCTGAGATGAGGAAGAACTGGGCTTCAGGAGCACCGTGTCACTGCTGTTGGCCACCGCGGTGGAGGTTTGCATCAGATAGGATTATTTAAGAAGGACCGACCTTGATCCTTTTCCAGGACCCCAGTGGAAGTTTTCAATAGGAGAAAGTCTGTTTAATAAATATACTTTGTAAACATTAAATCAAATTCACTAAAAGTTTCTTTTACTTTTATGTAGCTTTACACAATATGTTCCATCTGGGGAAACCCACATTTTCCGGGGGTGGGAGTGGAGTTCTATTTTATTCCCAGGAAATGCTGTGAATTCACCAACCTCTCCCGTGCTTCTGACCACCAACACTAATCTTCATCCAGTGACTTGCGGGTGGGGGTGAGGCTGCCCATTAAGACTCAGCAGCTGTTTCTGCATTACTGTTCAGTATTTAATGCTGTGACCGACTTTTCAGCCAGAAAGGGTCTTCTGGAAACCACACAGCTCTACAGGGTGCCAGCTGTGGGGAGATGCGTGCCACCCCCACCCCCAACAGCGTCTCCTCCTCTGTGTGTCAAGGAAGTGGTAGCCTTTGTCTGGGACGGGCCAAGTATCTTTTCAACAGGACAAGAGGCACATCAGATACGGGGAGGGCCATGGAATCATGAAAAATCATCCAAGAAGCTGGGCTCTTCTGTGGGAAAATGATAAGTCCAAAAGTAAAATAAAATAAAATAACTCTTCCCAGGAACTCGTGGACAGCGAGGCTTGGAGGAGTGGGTGTTATTTCTGGGTTCTTACTTGTACTGTGTTGGTAAACAGATTCCTTTTGAGTCTCAGTAATTCCAAGTAATTCTCTTAATTTGTTTTCCCAGTGACAGAAATATATTCATATCCATATCCAAACTCACAAATTGAATCCAGAAATTAGCAGAAGCCTAGGAAAATGCTCCGTGGAGTATCCAAGCCTCCAGTCGTGGAAAATCCCAGACTCGAGCACATCAGAGGAGACTGCTCCGCGCTGTTGGCAGCAGATCTGTCCCACCCTTTCCTGTCCATCCTGGGGCACTTGGGCTCCTGAGGGAGCAGGCAGGCCCCCTGGCCCCCTGAAAGTCCACCCCTGAATCCTGGTACACTCGTTGTTCTGCAGGGACTGTGCTGGTCCCGTATAGGACAGCCCCTGGTGTCTGATGTCTGTCCATGTTGTAGAAGTTGATTTGCAGACTTGGAAACCGTGTGCCCGATCACCTCATCCTCAAGAGACTCCATCTCTGATCCAAACTCAACCCCCAAGGTGCCCTCAACGTGTCAGGCTTCAGCAATCCGACCCAGAGGGTGTCTGAGCCCTGGATCTTGTTCAGGAAGTGTGAAGGGAAGACCCACAAGAGGGATTAGGAAATTTGAAAATCACAAGAAATACGTCGAGAGGCTCAGGCCATGTGAGCCCCAGTCCCGAGGCTACAGGATCGCTTTCCTTCAAAAACATTTTTTTAACCTTTCTGTGTATTCTACCTACTGTTACACATTAACCTGTGTCAAAATTGAATGGTTTCCAGTAATGTGACTTCTCAGGATTCTATGGGTCAAGAATTTGGGCAGAGGTCAGGTGCTACCCCACATGTTACCAGCTGGGTTCACCGTTAATGGCACTCTGCCGACGCTGGACCCAGGAAGGTCTAAACAGGCCCAACTCCTAGGCCTGGTTCCTCTCCAAGTGGCCTGGTCAGCTCTCACGGCTCCTCCCGTCAGGCTAGTCCTTTTTTCGCTTGGTGGTTGGCTTCTTCAAAGGACAAGAAATCTTCAGTGTAGTCTGGAGATGGGCACAACAGGACTTCTGCCACAAGTCGTCCCTCAGAGTAAGAAACAAGACCAGTCAAAACGTAAAGACGGAGGAGGAAGCCCATGCTCCTGGACATGAGGAAGACTGTGTGCACACAGGAGGTGAGGGGTGCGTGGCTGCCATCTTGGTTGTGCATCTACCACACTGTACACTACAGGTGGCGTCCAGAGCGCATCTCCATTCCTTACAAACTGGCAAAGCTTCCTTGACTGGTGGCTGCTTGCTATTTCTTGGAGTTCTAATGCATAAAAAAAAGGATTTGGGGCTGGGGGTGGGGGGGCGGACCTACAAACATCACTGGTCAAAGGGAAATTTTTCTCTCCTTGGGAATACATGTGCACAAAGATGAAAAAAATAACATGAGCTAGCTTTTGAAATTAGCAAGTCTAAAATTTGGAACGGAATGAACAAAAGATGAATATAGTTTGAGAAGTATCAGAAGAGGAGCGAGAGGTTTGAAAGGGAGAAGGCTTGGAGCCTATTTCCACGTGTCTCTTCTGTGTGTATTAGAGAAGTTCTTATTGAAGTGGGTGGGTTTCTTACAGACTAGGAGCCAGGACTTATTTCTCTTGAGGCTGATCAAGAGAGCCTCATAGATTCCATCTGTCACGAAGGTGGAGGGTGATGTCTGTGGCTGGGCACTGTTGGTGGCAGTGGCCGTGTGGACGGGGGTGAGCAGTGTAAGATGGATAAGGGCGTTTCCCCAAGATTGCCTTGTGAGTTCTGGGGGTGAGCCCTTTCCCTCTGAGCCAAGGTCTTGGCAAAATCCACAGAGACTCTCAGGCATCCTCCTCCTTCCTCTGCCCCCCTGCTTCCTGCAGCACCCGACACGCACACCCCCAGCACACACAGGCAGGGATGAAAGCAGCCCTGGTGGAGCCTCCCTGGCCCCTGCCCTCCCGCCCCGGGCCTCACTTGTCACCAGCTACTTCCAGCTGAAATGCGCAGAGCCGCTCAGCAGGTACGTCAGTCTGGCTTCATTGGAGGGTGAGGGCTTCTTGGTTTATTTTGTTTTTGTTTTGAAGACCAGCTCCCGTCTGGTGGCCATATGTAGTCACACAGGCTTCCCATAAACCACCCTAATGACATGGCGGGGCTCACAGCACCGTTTTGTTTTCCGTGGCTAGGCTAATTTGAATTTACGGCTTGTGCAGCAGGTTGAGAAGATGGGACCCTCAAGTCAGGTTAATCTACTGTTACATTTTTTCCTGCCATTCACATCCAGTGGGGGGCTTGCTGCTCCTGAGCCTTTCAGCACCTCCCTCCACCCAGAAGTCCTCACCCTGGGGCAGGCCTTGGCTCCTCCACTCCACCTGTCAGTCATCTTTGCTCCTTATGTAAACACAGACACTTTTGTCATTATTCTAAAAATAGGCGCTTTCAGGAAGGCTGGTAACTGGTTTATCTTGTTCTTTTCTGTAGCTGTTTGACTTGTAGCAGCAATATCAGACATGCCCACTCTTTTTCAGTGCAGTAATACAGTTCTCTCACTGAAATAAACAACTCACCTTTTGGCCTTGTAGTTTACTCACTGGGGAGCACGATTATTTTTTTTATTGGCTTGTAAAATAGCTTGCCTGTCACATTGTAGCTTAATTGGGAACACAAAATAATAAATAATTTAAAATAAGGAATATTGCCTTTCTATGGAGGTGAGCAAAACAGAGCCCCAGACTCTGTCCTCCCGCCCCCCAGCACAGGGCTTTCAGTGGTATTTGGTGACAGGATTTCTTGAAACGTGGCTGGATTTGTTCTTGCCTCCATATCTCCATAAAAATGATTTGAGTTGTTTTGTTTTTCCATAAGCAGATGAGACATCTCTTGCCATCAATTTGTCCAACAGGAGGATGTTATCTCTCTGCACCTCTGCCGACTTGAACACGGGCAGTGACAATAGGACCCTCCTGTTGAGCTACTGGAAGTGCTTATGCAGATAGCCATGCCAAGTGCTTATCAGAGGGCCTGGCCCAGAGGACAGACTGAGTGACTGTCAGGAGGAAAGTCCAGTGCACTTTGCAACCTTAAACAGAACCAATACCCTACCCTGCGAGGCTGGGTTTGGCCACTTCAAATGCACATCCCTGGGGAGAGGACATGGACTGGGACAGGGTCCCTTTCTGGGATCTGCCCCAGGTTGGCTGATTTTATGTGTCAGCTGGGCTGTTGGGGTACCCATTTGTCAGTCTGTTACTAGGGTGTTTCTGTGCAGGTGCTTTGTAGG